GAGCAGCCAGCAGCTCTAGCCACAGTCTCCCGCAGGCCGCCAGGTCAGGGCTCAGGCCCCGCTGCAGCCCTGAAACGGCAGCGCTGTCTCCGCGCTCAGGGAAGCTGGTGGAACGCCTCCTCCCACCGCCTTCCTGGTAAAACCTCCAACTAAGCGCTTCTCCTTTCTTCTACCATTCTTACACTCTCATCCACCTGCTCCAAGCTCTGCCTCTCATATTCATTACAGGAAGAAGAAACTTTTCTTTTTAATTGTGGTAAAACACACATGTGCTGTGCTGTGTTTAGTTGCTCAGTCGTGTCCGACTCATTGTGACCCCAGGGACTGCAGCCCGCCAGGCTCCTCTGTCCACGGGATTCTCCAGGCAAGAATACTGGAGCGCGTTGCCATGCCCTCCTCCAGGGGATCTTCCCCACCCAGGGATCGAACCCAGGTCTCCTGCATGGCCGGAGGATTCTTTACCAGTTGAGCTACCCAGGAAGCCCCAAAATACACATAACAGTTACCATTCTACCATAAGAGTTAACCATTTTTTAAATGTGCACTTCAGCGGTAATAGGTACACCCACACTGTTGTGTGAACATCTCCAGAACCCTTCATCTTGCAGGCTGAGGCTCCGTCCCCATTATACACTGACTTCCCTCCCCGCCCCTAGCAGCCACCTCCTAAGTGTCTCAGACTTCAGAACCTTCTGGGGCTAGGACAGAAGTTGACAAAGAATGACTGATACCTGAATTACTACGTGGGAAAATAACATTACTTTACCCAAATTTAGAAAAGCCAATCCTCCTTCCTTCCTCCCTCTCTCTTTCCCATCCTTCCTTTTTCTAATAAGCAATTTTAATTCTTTCTTACGTGGTATGATTAATGAACAGTAATTGTAATATCACTACAGACACCACAGTGAATGACCTCAAGTGTTTCAACGTTTACATTTTTTTTTCACGTTTCAGTTTTATGGACATGTAACTGAGAAATAAAATTGTAAGAAATTTAAGATATACATGGTGATTTTATATATATATATACACACACACACACACACATTGTATGCTGATATACAGTCCCCTTATCTAGTTAAATGACATCCATCACCTACCATATTTCTTTTGCCCGTGTGTGTGTGTGTACAGTGAAGAGCTACTCTCTTAGAAAATTTCAATCATAGGATATAGTGTCATCAACTAGTCAGCAGGTTCCACATCCTGCCCTCAGACCCTACTCACCTTACAGTTTCTCTGTGAACACCTATTCTGACCCATCGTACTGGTGTCTTATAAGACAGCCCCTTTGCTCTTTTGGCTCAGTTCTGGCGGTTCAGTTTACTTTCTTTGGAGGATACCAGATGGCTAGGACTGTCTTCGCCTTCAGAGCATTTCAGATTCTATAGGGAGACTAATGCAGCCCTAATTAGCCAGCTCTGGGGGGCTGAAGAGCAGCACTAACAGATGGACAGGGGCTTCTCAAACCTGAGACCACTAAACTCGGGAAAGAAGACGGAGTCTGAGTTGAATCTCTTTATTACTATCCCCAATAATACTGTTTGTTATTTCTAGTTACTTTATTATAGTTTATTATTGTAGCATCTGTAGCCTCTTCAAGTTAATTTTTAGCTAACAAAGATACACAGACAGTACCTCATAACCTTTTCCCCCTTACTAAATGTTCTAATTTACTATTTTAGATGTTGCTCTTCCTAAATTTAGCCATTCTCAAATCCAGTTCTTCCCTGTCTCCCAGTAACTTCTTCCTTCAGAGTATAATGGAACTTATTTGTAATGCTTTATAAGCTCTTTAAAGCCAGAGCCAACCGCATAATGGCAGGTCATTTCTGTAGGAGGTTATCACATTTCAAGGGGACATAATCGGATTCGTGGTATGTCTGAGTCTCCAGAATATGAGCTGTGTGGCAGCAGATTGGAAAGCCACACGTCCAGGCTCAGGATGAGCCTCCTTGGCTGTACACGCTCCACATGCATGCTTCAGCCTGCGGAGTTTCCACCCTGGACTCCACTGACTACTGAAGGAATCAGAAAATGTATCACTGGTCTGTGTTAGACTACCATTCTTCTGGGCTGCAACTTCTCTAGAAGAAAATCTAATGAGGGACTAAAATAGCATGTACTGTATTCTTTTGCCAAAAAAAAAAAAAAGAAGTATATGTAATACTTCTTACTTTGAGCCATGTTGGAGATAGCATGAAAAATGGAAATGAATTCTGGACCCTCTGTGATGTGAAAATATTACCTAAGTGAAGTCTTCTTCTCTTAAATCCATCTACCTTCACTACTTATCCTGAGTACAAAAGAGCTGAAGAGTTAGATCACCTTATAATACAGTCACGGTGATTTAACTTTTCTTTCTAGACGGCTGTCTCTCAGATTAGGACCTACATGTGTTAAAAGATATCTGCACACCCACCATTCACGGCAGCATTATTCACAAAAGCCAAAAGGTGGAAGCGACCCAAGTGTCCATCAAAGATGACGAGATAAACAAAATGTGATAAATATATGCCTGCACGCTCAGTCACTTCAGTCGTGTCCGACTCTTTGTGACGCTCTGGACTGTAGCCCACCCGGCTCCTCTGTCCATGGGATTCTCCAGGCAAGAATATTGGAGTGGGTTGCCATTTCCTCCTCCAGGGGATCTTCCTGACCCAGAGATCAAAACTGAGTCTCCTACAACTCCTGCCTTCGCAGGCGGGATCTCTTACCACTGAGCCACCTGGGAAACCCTGTGATGTATACGTGCAATGGAATATTAGCCTGAAAATTTTGACACATGTTACAACATGGATGAACCTTGAAAACATTGCGTTAAGTGAAACAGTCCGGTCACAAAAAGACAAATAGTGTGTGAGGTACCTAGGGTAGTTAGATTCATAGAGACGGAAAGGGGAAGGGTGGCTACCAGGGGCTGGGAGAGAGGACAGTGGGAACAGGTTTAATTTTGCAAGATGCAAGGACTTCTGTGGATGGATGCTGATGGTGGCCATTCAACAATGTGAATGCTTCCATGCTACTCAACTATACACTTAAAAACTGTTCAGAGAGCCTTCCCTCATGGTCCAATGGCTAAGACTGTGTGCTTCCAACGCAGGGGGCCCAGGTTCAATCTTTGGTCAGGAAAGTAGATCCCACATGCTGCAGCTAAGACCTGGCCCAGCCAAATAAGTAAACAGCTTAAAAAATTGTTAAGAGGGTGAATGTTATGCTATGTATATATCACCACAATTTAAAATATAATTATTCACTTTCAGGTTTTTTGTGTTTTTTTTTTTAAGTTAAAGGAAAAAAAAAGAGAAGTAAAGATGTACCTAGAGAAAAGGGAGGTGACGAGAAAGACTGTTTTGCCTGAATTTTAGATCTGGCCTAAGAAGTAGGCATTTCTGCTTCCGCCTTAGTTGGGAAAAGATGTTACAAGCCCCTCCTGTTCCTTCCATCGGTGGGTCTTCATCCCTCTTGAAGTCACAAACATACTGCAGCAAGTTCCCTACAGCCTCCTGAACATCTGGCCGGCGGCCTCCCTGGGGGCCTGATCGGCCAGACCCCCTTCTGTCTGGGATGGGCTTTCCTGAGACACGCGCTCTGACTCCGGGCCCCCATCCACTCTCTCCTTCAAAGTGCTGGAAGGCCCGAAAGCAGAGCCGGGGAACAAGGGTGAGGATGACCTATTGTCCCGCAGGAGCGTCTGCTGGGCGTGAGGTCAGAGGCCAGGGCACTGAAGAAATGCTCTCCTGCTCCTTCTGATACTGAAACGACGCACTCAGAAATAAAAGGTCTTTGCGTAAAGCAAAGGGCAGGGAAAGCCAGGCTTGGCGCGGAGGACGCTGAGCATGTCCTGAAGACCTCCTCTCACATGTCTCACGGCTCACTCCTAGGGTTCTCCGCATTTTATAAGAGATAGCCTCTTCGCTGTTTCAACAGGGGACCATACAGCCAGTTTCAAGAGCCCCCAAACAGAGAAAAGAGGTCAATACTGCCGCTCAAGAATTCAGCAATGTGGAGAGCTGCTACTTCATTCCAGAGCCCTGCCCAATCTCTTATCTAGTCAGCTCTGTCTCTAACCTATTTTCCTTGCTCCTTTCCAACAGATTAAAAAATAATGCATTTCTATTGCCCTTATTTTGGGGGGTGTCAATGTTCTTTTACCTCTTGGTTTCCTAATTACTTCTTCTAGCAAGTAGAGTTGTTTTAATTTATCTCCATGTTTCTAAACAGAGAATACTTACAAATGTCATTTTGCCTCAGTTTCTATAAGACACAGTGACCTGTTTCTCTGAGGCCATGCTTTCAATTAACTCTCAGAACTTCCTAGCTTTATATTTTTCTCAAAGTAACAGTTTGTGTTCACTGGAAACATGCTTCCTAGAAAGTCTATCTAAAAATAGCATTATGCTTTGGCTGTCAGAAATCTGTTCCACAATGGCCAAAATTTAATTAGGAGGTCAGAGGAATACAGACCACCTCAAAACACTTGTGAAAAGAAAACTGGAGGGAAAAACAAAGATAAACGTCTAAGGATGTACATTACTTAATGATGTTATTTAATAAAAGGCACTTTGTCTCAGAGAGCTCCAGTTAATGTCAAATAACTGAGTTCAGAAGCTCAGTCTTGTTTCAGCGGAGACTAATAAGACCGGACTTCAGCGGAGCTCTTCCCCTCGGGGTGTGGGGGGCGGGCGTGGGACACGCAGATGTGCTGGAGGCAGGGCTGGGCTGGGAGGCGAGCAGCGAGGCCCCAGACAGCATGTTCTCCGCATGAGGTCATGGTCCTCTGGGACGTCTGGGAGGATACGGATCGCAGGCCTCTTACACTTTCTTGCTCCTTAGCTCAGGCTCATCATATAGCCCCCCCCCCCCTTTCATTTTCAGAGCATGTTCACTTGGGTTATCTCATTTCTCAGTGATTCCAGCAGGTTTTGGAACGGAGGCACATACCCAAACACAAAAGCGCGCAGCATGAGGAGAACCGCCCCTCCGTGGGTCACTCTTACCTCTTCTCTGGCCTCCCTGGAGGACGAATTTAAAGACCCTCCCCTCCTGGAAGGGGAAGCCTTGGTGGCATCTTCCTGCTGCCCAAACAGCTCTTCGACCGTCTTGGTATCGATCTGGTAGTGATGCTGCTGGCTGGCTGCCAAGGTCCAGATGTTGGTTTTGCCCCGAACTTGCTCTTCTGGAATGGTTTTCCAATAAAAGCTTCTCATTCGCTTTTTCTTACCAAGCTGGCTGTAGCCGTTCAGGTGAGAGTTTGGGGGTAGCCCCGGAGGAGGCGGGGGCACCGGTGGCACCCCCGGCAGCGGAGGGGGCGGGGGCGGGGAGGGAGGAAAGCCCTCCCCCGAGTACGGCCCGAGCGGCGGGGCCGGGGGCGGAGGGGGCGCGGGCGGTGCCTGCCCGGTCACGAAGCCGGCCGCCATGGCGGTGTTCCCATTGCCTTTATCGCTGACCAAGGAGACACAATTCATAACATGCATAGCACCGTCGCCTTCTAAGGACAGAATTTCTTGACCTCGGGGAAGCAGACACAGACATCAAACTTGTGCCATGCTTCTCCATCTGCTAGCAGCCCGCCAGAGAAAAGGCAACGGGGTCGTGTGTCCTCTTCCAAACCTGCGAAGATAAAACAACTTTCAGTTCAGTTCAGAACACTGCCACATGGCCGCTTCCTTCCGAGGCTGCTGCCTGTCCTCCCAGGGTAGCTGGGTGTTAAAATCAGTGAGGGGCTGCAGGTCCAGAGGAGCAGGGAAGGGACTAACACTTTTCTAAATGTGAACCAAAGTTTACTACCTGGAAATGCTGCCAAAGCAGCGATGGTAAACCCCACCTGGACCTTCCATTGACCAATAAAACATATTTACCGGGAACCTGTGATAGGTTCAGCTCACTTTCTGAATAAGCTACTTGTTCACTAGCGGGCTCGCTTCCTTAGGCCGTGGATCTCCCATCCCTGGGGAGATTACCCAGATGGCTGCAGCCTCAGTGAGTCTACCTTTCTCCAGCAGGGACGTGTCCCCGAGCCAGCGGGTCAAAGGGCATCCTCCACCTTGCACATACGATAAAATAATGGCCAAACCTTCTCCCAGAATCAGGGCCACCATCTTCTACCTATACTCGGAGATGCTGCTTCCCCGCAGAGGAAAGAACGCCAGGCATGAAGATGAAAGGTTCCAGCTCTAAACCAAGCTTTCTTGCTTACAATTTTAGAAGGGCCACTTCCCCTCACTAGACTTGGGCTTTCTCATTTGTAAACTTAGGAGGTTGGGATTGATCTCCACCATCGCTTCTGAAGCAGTTGTTTTGGGCTCCTGTTAAGACACTCTACACTATCAGACCATTTCTCTGCCTCTCCTGCTCCATCTGATACTATTAGCAGAGCAGACACGGGCACGAAAGGGGATGTGCCCAAACCATGCCTGTCACTGTAGGTGGAAAGCTTTACCGCCTGAGCTACCAGGGAAGTCTCCTTACGCCTGTCACGTGTCTACCCCGCATCCACTCAGTCACAGACTTATCTCAGTAGCTTGTGTTTTTATTGACCTTTAAATGTTTGTTTTTGGTGTTGAGCTGTTGCAGAACCTGGTGTGCAAACAGGGGTCAAAACAGCTACATTTCTTCAGCTATGAGGACAGGTGAGTGCAGATGCAGGACACAGGGTCCTGTGAAGTGCACACCCCACGTATGTGGGCATGCACAAAGGGGGCTGCTCTGCCCAGGTGATAAAGGGTCTCATGGAGGGGCTTTTTAGCCTAGACCTCTGAGAGCAATCATCCTTCTACAGCATTCACTTACACATCTTCATCAAACACAGCAGAATTCAACAGGAGTAAGTGTTATTAAATGTTTTACACAGAATCATATACAAAAGGCAGGCTTGCCTTGGGAGTAAGAGGGATGACTCCAGAAACAGAGTCTCTTCCTCAGACCCCAGGTCTGCTACTTCTTTGGGGGTGCAACCTGGGGTGACGTAGATTGTTTAACTTACATTTCAGCATCTTCCTCTGTACTCCACACTGTAAGCATACACCGCTCCATTGGTCTGTATGAGATAAATGAGCGCATACATGTACACCCTTACCAAGATGCCTGGTACATAGTGAGCTATTACTAACAACTGGTATCAGATGTACATACAATTTCTGTTTATTTTTACAAGTGCTGCATTTGCTTTAAAATATGTGTTGGGTTTATAAGTAAAATGTTAAGTTGCCCTTGGCTACTGGAAACACACCTTTGATATTTCCAATCTCTGCTTTCTAAGTTACTAGGTTTGTGACCTTTGTCCTTTTTCAATACTAAGTGATTGTATATTACATTTCTACCCATTACAAGAACACATGTGTTTATGAAACATTTAAATATTTAAGTTCTAAAAATTATATATGGGTAGAAAATAGGAGAATTGGATAAGTTTTTTTTAGCATTTTAAACACTTTTAAGTGCACATCAGTGGCATTAAGTACACTCACATTGTTGTGTGAAGTGTCATCATGGGATAATTTTTTAGAAAGTAAAACTGAAAATATTTATCCAAGCCAACTTACAACTCACTAGAGATGCAACCAGCTTTCAAAAGGAATTTTCATAATTATCATTAGGGGCATAACTAGGCTGTTTTCATAGTTGGCACCCCTAAAGCAAATGACTCATTGTCAATTACAGTTTATAGTTATATTTGAACTCTTCTTCTCTCAAGACTGTACAGGTAATCTTGGCAGTTTATCCTTACATTTTTAAAAATACTTCTGTACATGAAATATCATATATAGAAGAATTGCTAATCCTCCAATTCACCTCCAATTCCAGATATGCTGACTTGTTTATAGATTATCCCTGTTAAGAATGGTGATGAGCTAAAAAAGTCCCCGTCCTAGAAAGCAGTAACTCATTTGGTGCTATTAGTATATGCACAGCTGTGCCATTAAACCTCCCATAGCAAATGTGAAGATACTAATAAAGAGTGAGAAAGACTGTGCCCTCAAAGGTCGTGCAACAGCACTGTCTCCTAATACCAAAGCCCCAAAGCATATAGGTTTTTTTGAGTATAGCCTTTTCTGCAGAGGAAGTACAAGCTTAAAGCTTGTCAAACTAACAAGTGACACGAGTTAGTTTTGCATGGGCAGGATTCTAACCACTGTTTTGTCTTGAGAAAGAATTCTGTCTTAGAAAGTTAAAAGGGACAAAAGAAAATTTACAACATTGTTCCTGGTATGTTGTCTGGCTAATTTTTTCCCAGGGTAACATACAAGGATCCTAGGCCCCCAACAGCTTCTAATGAATGAGTTCTCCAGCAATGATTAGCTAAGATGCTAATGCTTTTACTAGGAGCCTCAATGGGGCTTTGACAGGGCTTCCCCCTTGGGCCACGATTTCCAATGTCAAAGAGATGGCAGGAAAAAGAAAGTGCAGACAGACATTCTAACCCTTTCCAGTCCCATGAGATACTGAAACAGAGAAACACAAAGAACCAGATTAAAGCTTGTCCGCAGTAAAGATGTAAAGGTGTACTCTCTAAGCCCGCTAGAAAACAGGTGACGCAACAGCCCCAAAGCAGACTGCTTCACACAGTGGGCAGCTGCCTTCCGGACAAAGGAATTAGCTTTGGGCTCTATCTGGAAAACGTCAAGTGTCTCATCAATCTCCCCCAGGGCAAAGAGAACAGGCTTGTATTTAGCATTTCACCTACAGGTTGGGGACCTTAGCAGCAGGGGGGATGGCTGCTAAGGTTGACAAATGCCCAACCCTGAGTAAATCATAGAGGTGTCACAATCAGTCTCTGAAGATGAGAACTTCTCTTCAAGTCCCCTGACTGCTAATCAGGACCCACTGGGGGTAAATCTGAGTGGAGGTCCCTCCTGGGGAGGTTGTAGCTCAGCTGAGCATCTCCCAACTATGGGTTTTTAATAAAGGGATGTTTGAGCCAATCAGTAAGCAAAAAGTCTTAGAATGAGAGTGTTTATAAGGGTCTTCAAAGGAGCCCCAACTCACTTGCCTTTGCTCTTGGTATCAGAAACAGTGTTGAAGCTCTTGAAGGGAGTGGGTGGCAGGGAAGAAAAGAATAAGCATATTTCATTTCACAGTGTATTTAGGAGGAAATCATGTTCCTGAAAGCTCGTTCAGGGCTCAGAGCTTTCCTGAAAGAGGGTTAGTAGGGCCCTGTTGCTCAGCTGATCACTCACCCCCTTGGTCAACAATAAGCAAAAGTAAATGCCAGGGAAAACCTCCCAGGAAAACCTTTCCCTTTGATTCTTGACTTGTGCCACAGAGGAGGTGGGAGCAGGAAAGGCTGGCCCACACCCTTCTGATGACAAACGAGGGCAGAGCAAGCCTGGTGTGGAGGGAAGAGGGAGAGGAAGCCCCAGCTCTGTCTTATTTGCGGGGAGAGGAGAGGATGGGAAGGTACATTAATTCTACAACAAGGAGTGTTTGCTCCCACCAACTTACTGGGAAAACGCCTCCCCCACCACCTATCTTTCAAAACCTTTCTTGATTCTTGAACACAAAACGTCAACCACACAGTGGAACCGGAGCTGGCAACACCCACCCAACTCTTCACCTTGGCACTTTCACCAGCAGTGAGAAACCCAAGGTGCTTCCAGTCCCTGCGGTTAACCGCCTGTCGCACAACAATCCACAGACACACCAATGCAACACCCTGGGAGCAGAGGGGAAAAAACGCCTGTGTTTTGAATGTACATTTTCAGCTTCTCTCAATGTCCCCAAACCAAGGGGGCGGGGGGGGGGGGAGGGGGGGAAGCACCCGGGCACCAAAGGATGCCCTAGAGAGAAAAAAGCGCTCGCGATTCATTCCAGGAAGACAACCGTGGGTCAGGAGGGGTGGGGGCGGTCACAGACGGTCAAAACCCAGGGCAGTTTCTGTGCAAACAGCTGTTTGAAAATGGACTCCCGAGGAGTCGGCGTGGGGAACACCGGGACCCGATTTCTTTCTGGAGGCCCAGCAGTCCCCCAGGTCTCTGCACTGGCGAGCGGTCCACCGCGCCCTTCCACCCCCAGCCCCCGGCTCACGCGCCGCCTCAGCCACTCACCGAAGCGCCACCGGCCCGGCCGCACGAAAGGCTCCTCGGGTGCTGCCTCCGCCCGAGTCCCCGGGGAGCCCCGTTTGGCCAGTGCCGCTTGGGCCGCGGGCGCCTGCGCGTCCTTATCTGGGCGGCGGCGGGAGGGGTGAGGGAGAGGGCGCCGGTGCGCGGCCCAGATAGGCGCCCACACGCGCCGCGCAAGCTCCGCGGCGGGCCCGGGGCGCGCGCTGGGGAGGCCCGGCCGCCCTCGACGCAGGGACACGCGGGTCCGTCGGGCCGACGCCGGGGCCCGGCCGGACCCTGCGCCTCCAGGGAGCGCCGGGCGGGAGTCCACCGGCAGAAGGTCCCGGAGCAGCCGCCGCACCGACGCGCCCCTCCCTGGCCCCGGTGGGGTCGGCGACCCCGCCCCGCGCCTCCGGGGCCCCCGCCGATCCCCGGGG